CTATACAATGAAATTGAAGAAAATGTCATCATATCCCATTCCAATAAAAAAATTAAAAAAATTGATATTTCTTACTTTGGAATTGACATTTACACATTGATCTTAGGATGGGAAAACTGTTAGAAAGAGCAGGGATATTTTGCAAAGGGCACAGAAAATGTGTTGGCTGGACACCAATACTCAAACAAGAACAAACATGTACAGGAATTACTCATCCTTCCCCCCTGCCTTACCTCCTTTTGTGATGGAACATAGGAGCGGAAACCATTTCTCTCGTGGGAGGATGGTTTTAGCATCTCCTGCCCACACAGAAACATTGTCACTCTTCGCTTCACTGCGAAAGATCATGACTGGGGAGAATCGGCAGAAAAACATCGAGATGAGCTGTTGACATTTTCAAATGTTAACCACATGAATGTGTTAGTGTGGGGATAAGGGGTTTATAGGAACCCCCCATCAACATGTATTCACATTCTCATGAAAGGTGTATACATGTATTGATGTTTTAAAGCCATTCGTTAAGATTCAGTGTGGTGCATATTACTTTTTAAATGCACTAATCAACATAATGATTTATGTTGATTAGTGCATGTATTACTATACCTTCTTTTCATCAAATGGGTCAATTCTTTTACCAGATTCTATGTTTATAATTTAAATAAACAGAATTTAAACTTGTTTCCATATGCACTGAATTCAGACCTTTAGAGAAATTTGATTATTTATTGCATTGCTTGTACCAGCGGATATTGCATTTCTTGAATATCACTTTCCATTAATTGAGCTCATTAGTTTAAAAAAAAACAAGACCAAAGATACTTTTTCATCATTGTTCATAATGTCTTTACAACATTTTTGTATTGTGTATTAATTAATCTATTAATAAATGCAATTTTCTTTTGATAAAAGTATATATATGTAATCAATTTCAAATCCAAGACGAAAGAATTGCTTTGCAAAAACAGGAGTATTAAGACATATAAAGTTAAAATCCCCACTCCAGATCAGTATGCTTCCTTTTGCAAAGTGCAGTCTACTTCTTGCGAAGTTTGGAGCATATTTTAGTGCTACCTAATTGTCTTCCGCTGTAAATGAATCCAATCATGCTATTTCTCTTTACTTTTTAGATATATTTTGCTTACTGTTGGGGATTGACTGATCCTTTCTGTCTAATCCCGGCTCCCCTTTCTCAAGGTTGTCTTCCAACTGTCTCCTCCTAAAGCAACCCATTTCTTCCCGAAAGATAGAAAACCTCTAAATAGAGATACAGACAGGGCTTCCGTAGCCTAAAGCTAGGTACCCCCTCTTCTCTCTCTCTCTCTCTCTCTCTCTCTCTCTCTCTCTATTTCTATTTCTCTTTCTATTTCTCTCTCTCTCTCTCTTGATTTCAGGTTTTCTCTCTTAATTTCTCTTTTTCTCTTTCTCTCTCTTTCTCTCTTTTTCTCTCTATTTCTCTCCTCCCCTTTCTGTCCCTATGTTATTCTCTTTTTATATCTCTCTGGTTTTCTCTTTTCATATCTCTCTGTCTATATTGTTCTGCCTTTTTGATTGTGTATCTTTCACCCCCCCCCCCTTATCCCCTCTCTCTCTCTCTCTCTGTCTTGCTTGATGATCCTCTTGTCTTGTTCGAGCATAGCTCTAATGAATTCATCTTCCTCTCCTGATCCTGTTCCAAATTAATATCTTGAACATCTCTTTCATTGATCTTGGAGATGCAGGTTGTAAATTAACAGGTTCCTTGAAGCATTGAAATCCACCTTTTCAACACTTTATGGAATTATGAGCTTCCTTTTGTTCTATTCAGCTCCTCTTTTGAGAAAAAAAGCATTTTCAAGTGCTAAGGTATAGAAGGCAATATAATCATCTTAAGTACTTCTACCCTCTCTTAGCAAGTTAGATGCATTTTCTACTACTACCTGTGTTATAATTCTCATCAATCACTTATATCCATATTTCTGATTAGGGTTATCATATATGTTATGAACAAAATTGTAGGTCAATAAAAAAAAAGTTTATAAGAAGCATGATTTCATGGATAGTGACATTAATTCTTGCTTTTGTCTGAAAAGTGGTAAATTTTTGTAATACTGTAATTTTTCGTAAAACTTTTCTAGATGTTTTAACTCTTCAAAAAAATGTTAAAATGTTGAATAACACATTTAAGGTATTTTGAAAAGAAGTATTTAGGTTATCTCCATATCCATGTATCAAACTATACCAGGAATAGTTGAAAATCTGATGGATTGGATTTTAGGATTGTGTACAATGTACTTCCTGGTGTTCCACCTTCTCTATCCCCACCTGTGCTGTAATAACTGTGTGATGATGGTGCAAATTTGTGCACAATGTTTCTTTTGAAATGGCTACTTCCTGGATAGGTTATGATCCCTACTAAAGTCACAGCTATCAACAACTCACAATGCAGAACACGTACATATCAAACCTGCTGGATTAGAGCAAAGACATTATGTTGGAGGAAAAAAATTAGGCCAGAAATATTACCAGAGTATCTGGCTTGATTGAAGAGCCTAGTGAAAGTAGGCTGTACTCAGAAAGCATTGACAGCTAGCACAGATTCCAGCATCCGTTTCCAGGGGAAAAAGTCCCCAAAATCTCATGGGGTTTGAAATCATGTGGGACACCTGAGAAATTATGTTGCTGTGACTATGCAATATAATCACTTTAATGAGTAGATATAATTGTTTTGTCTTTATTGAAGAAAAGTACATGAAACCTTGATATTCGGGGGATGACTAGCTCATCATTGTCATTCTTTTGCCAAATGTCAGCTTGTCTATTTTCTGAAAATGCGAACAATCAACGTATGAACAATGAAAGACAAGGTCAGCACTCGATCATTCAATGGCATGATTCTTTCCAGGGTCGCTTAGGGAATTTCTCTGTGAATTTCAAAACTTGATTTGGAAGAGGAAAAGACTCTGAACCTTAATGTACGTGACATTCTAACGCAAGGAAGAAGCGCTTGACATTTAGGATCTAGCTGTGCACACTTACTTTCCAATTTGATGTATTTGAGGTATTCCTTTATGTGTAGAAACAATGCTCCGACTAAACTCACTGTCTCTGTAAAATGACTTTCTAGGTACAATCTGTAAGATGTATATTGTTGTGATGGGATCTCTGTTGGCAAGTTAAGATGCTGAAAACTTCTGTCCTTTAAGATTGGATGCTGCATCGCTTCTTGGAAATTTGCGGTCAAGTGGTTGCTACTGTGTCATGGTTTTCTTTTACAGAAGACACTTGAAAAGTTCATCTGGGGAATAAAGTTTTATCAAGAATGCTTCCTTGCCCATTTTCTGTGATTCAACCATAAATTTTTCAACAGTATTCCACATGGAGTATTCTTCTGAGACTTTGTCTCCACTTTTCTGTTCCAGGACATGTTCTTCAAGCTACTATTCCTATGAATGTCGCTGAAGGGATTGTGCAAGATTTCACTGTTTCTTCGTACCTTTTACGGATCAGAGAATAATATATGTCAAACTATTGATATAATACAAGCTCAATCTGTTACTGAAAATTAAGAAGACATTGATGTATGTCAGTCTCTCTCTCAATCTTGTACCATCCATATTGACTTTGCTGCTTTCTTGTCAGTGCTCTGATTTGAGATATTCCTGACATACCTTAATGAGGTAAGATCCTTGGTTTAGACCCATCACTAAGAGGAATTGGTCTTGACACGTTTCGTCAACTAGACATTTCCCTCTGAAATTGTGTTCCCTGGTTTTCTTCCTTCCAGGTTTTGGTGGTGTGTGGAGTGAGACTGTGATGTGCTTCTGATATCAAGATTAGTGCAATTTTCATCTGTTAACACATGAATTTCATGCAAGTCTTCATTTCATAGGAAATTCGCTAAGCAGAAATCTGAGGAATATAAAATATATTAGGGACTTATTTAAATTGTTCAATCAAACCACTTCCTTTTGTTATTGGGCAAAAGCAAAAACAGCAGGTCAAATGATGGAGAGCACAGTTTATGTCATTCTGGTCTTGTATCTGTTTGGTACTGTTGACTTATCAAGCCAGTCCAAGGTAATGGAGATCCATCACATTTTCTATGTATCATTATAATTGTAAGTCCTGCCTCTCCTTTGCGTGAAATTGTGAATTGTGTCCAGATGCTCCATGCTTTTGTAATTCGAAACAGAGGAGCAATACTGTATGCCTGAGTGTTACAATTAAACTCCATATGACTTTTTTTTAAACTTATAGCTGTGCGACTGCGGAGTAAAAAATCTTTTCCAGACGAAAGCGGCTGCTGGGGTTTTCTGTTCTTTGCTTCTTCACTCATGTTGAGATTGATGCTACCCCGTATTTGAATGGAGACATGCTTGAATGTTTAGGAATACATGCTCCGAATGATGCCATTCTGGATTTCAACCACAGTTTTCCTCTCACCAGATGCAGAGCTTCTTGAGGACGAGCTAGAAGGGACTTGTGTCGTCTGTCGGCTTTATGCCCCACTGAGCCAGACATGAAAATAACAATGTTGTACACATGGAGAACTTTATTTAACATTTGGTTTTCCTGATGTAAGGCATCTGTTTTGTTTTTCTTGTTTGCAGACGAACGGAAGAACGATCATGTGTCCTCCTATAGCATGTTGAGAAAAACTGAGAGGATTTGATATCTACCACTTATTGACAGATATGCTGTATTATACATAGTATGAAAAGTGCTGACATTTCATAAAACCACTTGATCTTAAAATTGAGTTTTAGCTTATAAACACATAAATGACCTGATGATATCTTCACTGCATGCTTTGCAAAATTATCTGCTTATATTGCACCAGAAGAAGGATGTTTTTCTTTTTGAAAAGAATATGAGCTAACACCCTTCTGGCTCTCAGTATATGATATGATGATTTCACAAAAAGTTCAAAAAGTTACATGGATTCTGCTTTCTTACCTCTCAGCATGTATATCAATTTTCTTTTAAAAAAAAATTTCTTATCATCCTTGTTTTCCCTGTAGAGTTTACTGAGGAACAGTTGGACCGACTTATGTCTTCCGCCAGTGACACCCTAGACTACATCAAGACGGAGGCTGTTCCTTTCATCCAGATGGTCATGGAAGACTTCATCAAGAATGATGAGATTCAGATGGAAGGGAGGAGGATCGTGGCCTGCTTCGGGTATCACTCTCCGAGAAGGTAGGTCATCCCGCACACAAACATTAACCCTTTCGATAATGAATTCTCTCATTCTCGCAAGTTTTAATACAGGGACCACACGGTTACTAGAGGCAAAGGGTTAATACCTCAGTCACACCGACAAGACCAAGATCACCTAACAACAGACCGAACAAACAATTATGTTACCCTTTATGGCCGAAGTTAAGTTGGTTTGGAGTTGGTTTGGAGTCGGTGTGGCAGCAAGTGTGACTGAGGTATAAGACCTGTGTTCATAATGGCAGACTAACTTTAGTTCAGGTTTAAAACCTCGGCAGTATTTTAAGATAGTCCACCGATTTATAAAGAGCCGAGTGTGGATCCACCCCTCTATCGCATAAACATTGCAATTCTGTCACTAACTGAACAAACAGAACTCATGTCAGTATGAAAACTTACTTCTTGTCATTTTCGTGACTTTATTTATTTTGTTTATTAATTTTTTTAAAGGTTTTCACTAATTTACACAAAAGAAAGATTGACATTTTGACTTGTTTAAACCGAGTTCCACTTACTAGGTTTAATGGGCAGAATAGCCGTGAAAAATGTAACCGGCATTCCATAAGATTAACCATTGATAGCAAAAGGACATTTAAAAAACGGATCTTAAAACCAGGATAAGAAAAAATCCTGCTTAGAGTTATAGAGACTGGAAAAACACAAAAGTAGGCAGAAAGAAGAAAAAATTAAGAAGGAAGAAAAGGCTTGTGTTGGGATTTTTTCCCAGGGTTAGGATATTAATTGGGGTGAGCCAGCTAAGAGCAGGAAGGCTTACTCTTGAAACAAAGAGTAGCAACAGGCTGCTAGGGGGGATCATCCTCTCAAAGACACCCCTGACGATAGCGGCGCTGCCTGCCCTGGAAGAAAGGCCGATGGAAACTCCCTAATCCCAAGCAGACAGTGAATCATAGTTCCTCCACTAAAATTTCTTGTATTAACCCTCACCATCCCTCCTTCCTCCAACCTAGCTTGCAGGCTCGGTCCTAAATACTAAAAGTTCTTCAGTTGAGAACGTGATGTGCCTCCTTGCAGTAGACCTGTTTATAGTTACCTCATCCCAAAAGGATCGATGTCTAAATAACAAAAGACTTTACAAATATGAAAAGCTCCCTCTCTTTGTATTTTGAAGTGACTTCCTTCAACCTTGCAACGTCCTAGATACTACAAGTTATTTAGTTGAGAAAATGATGTGCCTCCTTGCTATAGACCTGGTTGCATTTACCTCATCCCCAAAGGATGTCTAAATAACCGGAGACTTTACAAACATGAAAAGCTCCCTCTCTGTGTATTGTGAAGTGACTTCTGATGTAGATCCCCTGCACATGCCTTTTCTTTTGCATCTGGTAAACATTATAGTTTGATCATGGAGACAATGTGAACTTTCAGGGTGCAGTATAAGTGGAAATCGTATTTAGATCAACCCTTTCTCCTCAAGGCAGTATCAGTAGGGAAACTAGAATGCTTTATAACAGTTGAACATTATATAAGCTATCAGTTCAAGAAACTTTAAAATTGCATTTGGGGGTCAAAATGAAAGAAAAAACTGATTTTTTTTTTCTCCTCGAGTCTTAAAACAAAAAATAACTTGAAAGGGCTTGTGACATTTCTTATTTGTTTACCTGTTGGGGCAAAATCCTTTAAAGGTGAACAAATTACTGTGTGCCTCAGAAGATAATTCTTCGGAGCCCTCACCTTTTTGGGGCCATTGATGTAAATGATAAAAAAACAAATCATTGTACCAGGAGACCTGACATTAAGATGATCAAAGAGAGAGATTGGCATTCACAAGACTTGCCTTGAATGTTTTTCACATTTCGATGAATGGTGACGAAAGAAGAGCATCGAAACTGCTCGGTCTAGTAATTGTTCGCGTAATGGGATTGTGTCCCTGTTGAAGCGTTCTTCCTCTTTCTATGCGCCTCTCTTGTTGCTTATTTGTGCGATATGTTTATCGTATCTTATCACGAGTGTCTTTAGGCCTCATTGTCTGTTCTGTCAAATAGTTCATTCAATGTGACCTTTCAGTTGATGATATGTACATCCTGACACTATAAGTAGCGCATAGAAATATATGCATGAAAAAAAATCATAAGTGAGATAAGCGATCAAAGTGTGACAAATAATGGTGATAAACTGTAGTTCAACATCTCACGTCAAAATATACTGTAGGGCTAGTCTATCTATGATGAACAGAAAGTTTCATCTTTACATCAATGTTAATTCTTTGCCAATTTATCCCCCACCAAAGCTTAAAATGGTATAATTATCGACTATCGGCAGACAGACATAGCACCCTAAACATATAAACAATGAGGTTTTGTGCAAGTATGATTCAGTCAAGTTACAAAGAAAGAGAAATATCAGTAGCCATCATCACTCTCAAATTTGGACGATAGAATGAGACAGGGTCTACTTGATGAAAGATTGGCACTTTTAAGTCGAGTACAAGGAGTGACAACACGCCTTGTCAACATGTGTAACAAGCTCCAGCGTGTGATGGTATAAGAAGCTGAGAGGGATTATCTCAAACTGACCCTTCCCGTGAATCACTTCGGGTTTCCATGACGACTCGTGAATCAGCAGCCCCAAACCATATTTCGCTGAACAAAAATTTATAAAAAAATAGAAAGTCTTTAAGATAAGATCCAAAGGAGCAGAAAAGATGAAAAGTGTGGAGTTCTCGAGGAAAAAAAGTTCCAATTATCTAGAGACTGGCCGGTCAGAAACAATCAGGGTCACCCGGTCAGAGATGCAATCCTTGTGGGTACAGAACATTAGGAGCTTGTGGATAGAAACCAGTCCCAAGAAGAGAACCACTGTCACTAGAAATTACATGGAGATTACCATTGGAACTCTTTTGTGGACTTTAGTGTCTCCATGAATCAACATCAGAAGTCTAGATAATAATCAAATTGCCTTTCTTGTTTGCTTTTTGTCCTTCTCTTTGTAAGGTCTGATATTTTGCACCCCCCGAAATTGATAAATCATGATACTATTATGTGGGATAAAAATTCTGCTAAAATTGCCTGAATACTCACTGACAGATGCAAATTGAATTATGACCAACAATAGCATCATCTTTGTTGTAAGTTGTCTTCTCTAATGCAAAGTGTCATATAAACACCGTTCAATTGAATTAGGGGATAAAAGTCTGTTGTTGGAAATAAATTTACCCTTTGTATTCCGATAGTCTGGTTATTAGAATTTGTCTTTCCAGGAAGGAATTCAACATCATTGATGTGATTAGATTAATCCTCTATTGTGAATATTGGAAATTATGTTTCCTAGTTTAGAAGATTCTAAATTAAAATTAAAATTAATTGGAACTGTACATTTCCTTACCAAGGAGATGTATTTTTGTTGGCTTGCAATCACAACACCAAATTATTAAAAAAAATATTGGAAGCAACAAAACAATCTAGCTTTGTTTTGCCAACAACTTATGTTTTTATAGTGGAGGGTATTTATAATGGGGTGGTAAAGATATTCTAGTTACCAATATTTTGTATGCAGCTGTTACGCAGACATATAACCTAATTGTTTAGATAAAATCACAAGTAACTCTTCCCCTTTTTGGGGCTTTTGTTATTGAAATACTATTAATGTAGAGGAAGATACATTTTATGCAGTGCATTGGCAAAAGTGGCAAAATGTCAGGAAAAAAAAAATGAGAACAGAAAAGGGGGGTATTTTAAACAAGGGAGATTAATTGAGTTGATTGGTGATTGGTACATGCAGAAGCAAGCTCCCATAACTTGATTTCAACAAAACTTTATGAAAAAATGAGAGGATTAAGTAATGAAAAAATATCAGTGAGATGACTTAAGGATTAGGAAAGTTTCCTTCACATAATGATTTTTGTTAAAGATTCAATATGTTCGGAGGATTGAGAATATCATGTAGATGATTAAAGGAGGTAGAGGGGAAAGAGTTACGTTACATGCAGTGTGAGCCAGCACGATCCCGAGAATTTAGCCTAATCTTGTGGGGATTAAGATGAGGATATCTTAATCTTCACCTGGTTGAAATCATCTTTCATCTTCCTTGCTTCTTTCCTATTCCACTGTCTGTGATGAATTACTCATTCTTTTATATATGATGCCTTCAAGATCATGTCGGGAGGGAAGGAAACTCGTAGCGGTGGGAGAAGGGGAAAAAAAGTACAAAGAAATAGGAAAAGCAAACAATTCTGAAGATAATTTTTGTCCGGGAAGTTCCACATCAAGTCAAGTTTCAACAAGCTGATTAAGACATCAGGAAATGAGCAGACAGAATAAGGACAAAAATAGGAGTAAAATCTAACCAATAGTCATCAGGTTTAAACAGGCAGTCATATAGGATGGACATGCTGTAGCATTTCAGCCAAGGATGGTTGTAGTAAACGCTTAAACATATTGCAGTAATGTGTATATTTTTCATGGATTCTTATGAATCCTTATCCATTAAAAAAAAAACTGTCATTAGTTTAATAAAATGAATTTGTAATGAACCTGTAATTAATCTTCTTCAGTCTCTCTTAACACTTTTAAAGGTAGTGCAAAGTTTTGGGAATTGGATGCCCCTGTGGATGTATTATAAGCACTAGAAAATTAAGCCCCTAAAACACTTCTGCTTTCGAGAAATTGAATTAATCAAAATTTAGTCAATATGAGTTTATCTGTATTCTTGCTCCTATTCATAAATGTAACATGATCATTTCATTAGACCATTCATTTGTATTATTGTTCAAAATGTAGTATCCAATGAAAATAAATACATTAATTTTAGTGAGCATATCCCTCTCTACAGGCTTTAACAAAATATGTTCTTCTGTTCTGACTTCTCTTTTGCTCAGAACTTCTTCCTCTTCTTCATTCATTAATTCTTCTGTATTCTCTATTTTTTAGTTTCATTTTACGTCTTCTTTCGATTTGGCTCCTAGTTCTTGTGCATGGGCTAGGATACGAATGGATTAGCATTACAACATTTTGATCTGTTTAGTCTGCCCCACCCATTTAATAGATACAGTTCTATCAAATCCTCTAGACGAATGCCGAGGATGTTGACAACATCAGAAAAAGGATGCAGGGTGGAATTAAAGATTTTTCTCCCTGTCAATGTTGGTGGCACCATGCATGCTTGTATAGTTGGGAGAAATATTGAGACTGCATGGTTTGCCAAAACCAAATGATAGCTAGGATTAATCCCAAGATTTAGTGATCACAGACACGACATTCCAATGACATTCAGCGAGTTAATGATACGATGGTCAGGCCTCTCTGTCTATTTATCTGTCCTACAAAATGGAATAATAAAATCTCTTCATATATTCTAGTAAATGGAATGGCATTTTGATATAAACAGGTTAAAAATAATGATTGTAAAAGGTAGTTAGTTTTTTTAAATTTCAAAATATAAACCATTTGACAAAATCTTGCTGGAAGTCATATTTATGTTCAAATAACTTTTGCACAGTGAAGTTTATGTATTGTGCATATGAGTCAGCTAGGACTATTACCATATGCCCATATTTCTCTGCTCCTTATACCCAACTATCTCTTTAAAATCTTGTGCCAAATATTTAACAGAATTAATTTCATTTTCTGATGAAATGTTATTCATAAGTACCAAAAAAACTCAAGATTAACTGTAATCTGTAGGAGTAAAGAATAATGCATTTTTATTCCTCTCATCAACCAAAGTCAATTTCGTACGTCTTAAATTCAGTGGATGTTTTTTCTTAGTTTTGAGTCATCATTATCGTTATTCAGACAATGCTGTGGTTTAGAGGTCAAGGTAGATCAAGGCTAATTTGACAATAATCTTCCTTGTCAGGTTGATTCTTAAAACAAACTCTAATGGAGTAAAAGTACATAGATGGGTTAATGGGTTCTTACCACAAACATTGACTTTTGATGACTTTTGATGAAAATGGCCAAGGAAGGGGATTAAGAGGGATTAAATTTACATCTTAGAGTTCGATGACGTGATACTGCTTCATAAATGAGAAATTATCACCTGTTGCATTCTGGGATTGTTGAATTCCATCATGCGAAACCTGTGGTTGCATAAAGTTTGCTCGAAAGTAGCAAGGTGACCATGATTCTGATCATTGGATGGTTAGGTTCATTTATTCTTTAGCAAATTACACCTGCTTAATGGTCATGGTTATGGGACAGACTCTTTCTTAAATTGTGTGGGATTAACTTTTGATATGTGAGGTCAGCTTTATTTCCGAATCCATAAGTCTTCCTGTGGACGGTGTATAATAAGTTTTCAACCTAGATTGTAAATGTTAGGTTAGATTTGTAGGTGATCTTGTTATTTGCCATCATCCAAAAGTATCAAAAGTATCAATTTAGGATGATGAGAATGCTGGTTATTAAATGAGATGTGATGGCGTATCATTGGCTTCCCTAGATTAATTCTAATTACCTCTTGTTATATTGAAGTAAACAATAGATTTGCCTGAAAATTACCCAAGTTTACCCAAGTTTATACCCCATGCTATCTGTGTCCATTCCATCAAATCCTTTTCAGTAAAGCCCATATGGGTCTCTGATAACTATATTATATCACTGTATTCTTTCTGTTTGTCTGTCTGTAAGTCTGTTGCCCTCTCTTTCTATCTCCCTCTTGATCTCATTTTACTCTCATTACTCATTATTTTGCCTGTGTCTTTAATCTTTTTTTCTCTTTCTCTCTTTCTGACTCTCACTGATTTACTCTCTCTCCCTCCCTTTTTCTCTTAGCATTCTGACATCATGATATAAATAGAGTTAGTCGATGCCTGCAATGTATCACAGAATCGTGATAACATGCAACATCAATATATTCAAGATACAGCAGACAATTAATAACAGCCCCTCTTTTCCAGTCCACCCGTTTCACACACTCCTAACCCTTCCCTGCCCAATTATATCATTGCCCCCTCCCGATACAGGGAGAGACACTTTCCTCTCCTGAGCACAGGATATGAATCAGGCCCACTCACATAACCCTCTTACGTTTGTCCCAAATTATGACAGCCTAACTGGCAGGTGATGACCCTGTCCTGCGTGCTTCCCCCCTTGTTCCTCATTTTTGTTTTTCACTTTCAGCGGGCGGCCTAAAAATAGACTTTGTTTGCGTACGCTGAGCTACCGATTCACGCATTCAGAACTTCCAACAAAAGATTTTAATCCCACTTACTAAAAGAAAAATCCATGCAATTTTCATGAATCATATTTATATCAGCCAATTCAATAGGATATCATTACTGGATATTAATTGTCATTTTTTGGGTATGGTGTTAGATTTATATATGAGTCCTCTTTCAGTAATAGTTTGTTGTAATATTTGGCATTTCGATTCATTTCCTGTTTTGCACATACAGCAAACTGATCAATAGATAATAAATTAAAGGTACTTTTGAAATGTTTTCATCAAGTAAAATGCATCCATAGTATTATGGCAACAGTGTATTTTATTATGTGTGCAATGAAATCTTCAGAACTACAGCAAGCCTCATTTTATATATGTTACTCTTTAACATCTCATACATGTACAAGCCCAAAGTTACATCAGTTTGACTTTTCTTGCAAGTGTCCCTAACTTGTTTTGATCAGGATTTGTATCTTGTTCGGCCTGATAATGATTTTTCACTTTGAAACCTGAAATTTTCTTGACTGAGACAAGCTCTGATGTACATGTAGAAATCAATGATTCATTGCAATGATGTATCATTTTTATTTTGAATGTCAATTATTGAAATTTTGGATTTTAAAGATTTGATTCTTCATCTTTGTAGTAGCTTAATTTGCACATTTTTCTATAAAAAAAAGAGAGAGAAAACAAATAACAAAATATCAGCAAAATTAACCCCTAAAATACACAAGCCAGTATGCAGTTCTGATGACCTATCAAAGTTAAAGGATATGTTTGCATTATGATGGATGAGGCCTTTGCTATTGTGAATGACAGCAGCACCTTCACACTTTGTAGAATATATACTTTACTATTTCACTGCTAACTATATATAGGTAAAGAATGACCTTGACTTATTTAACGAGTGATGCTTACTGGTGCATTGCTTTCTCTCAGCATGTTACAATCACAATAGTTATTGACACCCCCTCCCCCCCAAATCAGGAACCTATACAACAGTAAACTTTTGTACATGATATTGCACCCATGGTAATAAAGTGATGGTGATGGTTTCTCCTATCGATAGGGTGTTCATTTCGTTATTGTATTATATAACAGATTTCTTTTTCTTTTATTTATCCTTTCTCTAATTATGACTACCCATTTGACTTTTATGAAAAATTATCTCTATTTGTTATTATTCTGTCTTTTACTGGGATTTTTATACAGAGACCTTTAAGTTCTTGCTTCTGTTACTTGCTGTGAGCTGTCTAATACAATCTTTCACTCATACTATGTTGCTATCTTTCCATCTTATTTTGAGTTTTGAACACGCCCTCTGAGAGTCTGTCCCTCACCCCACGCTCTTGTTGTGTTTTTGTTGGCGCGTCTCTCCCCTCGTGTCCAGTGTCTGACAACTGCAGGGCAGCGAGGGCTTGACAAGTTAAAATCCAATCAAAAATAAAATTCAAGTACAGAAGGCTTAGTGATTAGGGGGGCAGGATGCAAATTATAGGTCTTCAAAGTGAAAAACTAAGTGAGTCGTTAAGAGCAGTGCAGCCTGTTTTCACTCATGATTCTGCAATAGGTGTGGTGCGCTGATAAAATGAGAATGCCTTAGGGTACGGGCTGAATATGCACACATAGGAATACTGCAAGAGTGTACATGCCTAGACTGCGATAGTGTAAGGCTTATAGTTGCCATTTTAACTGCTGTGTCATTAATAAAAAATCTTGTATATGTGACTATGCAGTGTTATTAATTGCCTTTTTGCTTCATGTTATTTACTAAACTACACAAGTCTCAGCAAAAGCTTGTAGTAATTCAGTGGCAAGGTAATGTATTACGGCAGCATGCAATCTAATTTATGCCATTCTGACTTACAATAGACGTTAATTGTCAGGTCACTATTTTGAAAGGTATATTAACATTTATTTTCTATTCTATTCCTGTCTTCTCTGCAGTATTTTGGGGACTCCAAAGAAGTCCCATTCCATGCCAAGGACCAAGAAGGCTAAAGTAGATCTGGGCCCTTCCAAGGAATACCTGCAGACACGGAGAGTCACCTTTTCCAACGTGTTGGATGTGAACGCCATTGAGACCGTAGAGCTCGAGGACGACGGGAGCCCGAATTATCGCAGGAGACACTCTTTCTGCGTAGGAGACATCAAGATCGCCCAACAACGACTTCAGGAGAAGGACAGCGAGATGGGTAAGACTGTCTCAAGAGCTGTGGATGACTCCAACATCAAGTACCAGTGCCCAACACCGTCTGCACCGTATGAAGACAGCGATATGGAATCGAGTCAATGGAAAGTGCCACTGATTCAGATAAAGGAGTGGAGAACTGTCGAAGGAGAGGACGATGATCATGGTTACGAACGAGTTATCAACATTGATCATGATACCGGTGGAGATGAGGCGGGTAGTCCTCTGAAACCTGAGAGAGGAAATTTAGAGGAAGAGGATGATGAGGATATAAATGCTTATGAAAAGGTGGAGGTAGATGAAGGGAAGCAGACTGATGCCAATGAGAATGACTATACAGAGCTTGAAGCTCTAATGGCTCAGCTTGAAGAGATTGCTGGACATGAAAATGCAGCCGATAGAAAGGCATCGGGAGAGGATTATGATCAAGTTTTTGATGAGGCTGAAAGTTCTGATGTAGATGGATACGAAGTGCCTATGACCGAGGAAGAAGTTTTAAAAAGCCGAAGTGCAAGCATGGAGAACCTTGTGGACTCCATGGAAGAGGACGATTTTGGGGTTTCCCTCGCGATTCTGTTTGATGATTTAGGGGAGGATGATGATGGATATGAAAAAATTGAAATTGGAGCTCAGGAAGCATGTCCGGTAACGGCTGAGGCAGGAATTGAAGACGAGTGTGTGAAAAGTGAAGTGGAAGCAACAGAACAATGTATTCCCAAACAGGAAGAAGAGGAAACCATGGAGGATGAAAGGAGCCGTTTCTCTGAGTATTCAGAGATAGACATTGTAGAAGCACTGGTAAAGTCTGGGCTTATGAATGCTCACACGGACAAAAACAATTCAGGTCAAACGTCTTCCAGTGTAGATGCAAATGAAAGTGAAATGTCGCAAACTGTAAAATGTGAAGTTGAGACGCCTCGTCCAGACTCAGGGGAAACCAGACTCAAGGAGCAGGCTTCCACAGAGAGTTGTGAGGAGTCCGTCTTCAGCGATGAATCAACATGTATGCTTCTTAGGACAGAAGAAGATATCAAAGTAGACATGGAACATGATGGAAATATGAAAGAAAGTTGTGAGATGGAGACCAGTGAATCAGACATTAGCAATGCTGATGACAACATCAATAATGTCAATGAGAATGAAGAGGTTCAACCAGAGGAGAAGAAGGACAATGGCGAAGAAAAGGGGAAAGTCACCACCCGGTCTTTCAAAAAGTCTTTGAACAGCTCCTATAATTCTATCACAGCAAACCTTTTGCGCAAGAAAAGAACTGCTGAGAAACGTCAAGGTAGTGTCTTTGGTGAGGATATCAGAATAGAGAACGTGAACTTCCGTGGTGACTCATTGGACTCGGATGATGGTTACCAGGATAGTGGTGACTATAAGGAAACAACTTGCAGCGATGTCAACAACTCCTTTGGGTTTCCAGCTCCTGCAGCTGAAGATGGACAGTCTGTGGATTTGGAGTATGCCAGTGACTCTAGTGCAGGTCAGAATGGTCTCTGTGATGATCCAGTGTACGACAACGTGTGCATGGACGATGACGACAATCTGGATAGGAATGTATTCAATAGCAGTCCGGTCAGTTCGGTCAGTGCCACGTTCACAGAGGGTAGCGAGGATGCTGTCCAAGAAGAGAAGCAGGAGACACAGTCCATGGGTTCCCTTGAGAACATCTGTAACCTTGGTGAACTCCGAATGCGTAATGTCATCTCTAAAAGCATCCACTGCCTCCCGAGTGGGGACAGACAGCTGATGAAAGAAGCAGAGGAAGGTACACCACCTAAGCCACGCAGGACATGGTACTATCGCTCCAGCGCTGACGTCCGCAAGAGCCTCATCCGTAGCTTCGGCTTGGACACGGATGGAATCATGCGCAACCCGACCTACGCACAGGTTTCCAAACCCAACTCCCGTGTCATCCATGGAAGCCTCCCAGGGCGTTCCAATCATGGAGCAGGTCACAGGACGATGAAGCGTATCCCTCTGACTCTGAGCCGACACAGCAAGATGATCTACAAGGAGAGGTTCTCGTCAAATTCCTCTAAGCTTGGTAGGAACACCTCCCATGATTCAGGGGTCCTGACTGGAGATGAAGATTCCAGATCAACCATCAGAGACAATGAGATTAATCAAACACATCTCTACGAGGAGGTTGCTACAATAACCAGCAGAGGTGGGGATCGCTCCGGAGCTAAATCAGAAGTCAGGAAGACCCTCACTATGGATGAGGATACTACTGAGGTGAGAAATCAACAAGTTTGACTATTGTTACATTTCTTGCTCTCACTAACACTTTTACCCTACATTTATTGTCTTCTCTTAAGAGGATAACCCCATCAGTAATCAGGCACTTTTTCACCAAGCCATGTATATAAACATAGCATGATTTCATATAACGTATAAAAATGTAGACGCATAGAAAATGGGAAGTAAGATTACTAGAACACTATGGAAGCATTCTTATCTCCCAGTTGTAAATCATTTAAATGCAGAAACAGAATTTTCTGTCCCATAGGGATTAACAATTAACCAAACGTTTTCTTTATTGGGGTGTAAAGTTGACATTCCTACTTCTTTTTACTTGAACCACCATTGTTTGTAACTACAGACACTGAAATGTATGTTGGAATATTGAACACAAAGAGATACCGTTATAAACAAATTACTATGTTAACTGAATTTTATTCTATGATCATGTACGTCATTTGAAAGAACTTATTGGCAGTGGAAGAATACAAATTAAATTACTTCCTGTGCAAAACCCCTTGGTAGACAGCACCTGGCTTTCATCTTAATTCATAATTAACAGATAGCATGCAGTTGTAGTTATGACTTTTATTTTTTACACTGTAAGTTCCTTAGCCGCGACTCTTCACTACCAGGAAATACTTCTAGTACACATTCTTATATTTCACAATTCCACTTCTAGTAAGGCATGGTACAAGGTTATGTTTTGGGGTTATTTACTATAACACCCATGTTCAAGTGTTGATTGTATGACCAAAATTCCCATTCTTTGAGGGTAGACAAAATGTTTTTTGGCCTCAGACAAGTCCAAATTGGCGACACCCCAAGGGACGTCACAATAAGACGCTTCCTCAATGACCTTTACGGTCTTCCTCTAAACTTCCCATGGCCGTAGGTTACATCCTACTGGTCAGCCCACGTCCAGCCACTGTGTGTTTTTCTCTTTAGGCCTGTTTTCATCAGCTCAAGATTGCCAAATAACCTGCTATTTTAACTATCCTGATCGCAAATTATCCAGCAAATTTGCGTCTTCATCAGTCCGATGTTGCAATTTGCAGGATATTTGGTCGAGATAATCATCCCAAGATATCTTGGTCTAGTTTGCAACATATCCCCCTATTTTGCAAAATATCCCGCCATTTGTCCGGTGCGTCTTAATAATATCTTGAGCTCGAGTTTTGAGGTCAGGTCTCGAGCTGATGAAGACTCGATTTGTAACTTCTGGCTTATTTCCCAAATCAGAAATAGCGGGCGATTTGGCAATCTCGAGCTGATGAAGACATTCCTTTTGAGAGACACAGTTTTCCCTGCAGGGTCCTATAGACTGCCATAGAATGAAGGAAGATGCCTCCAGTGTACCCCCGTCCTCGTGGGCACCTTCTCATAATCCAATTTTATGGACGTGTATTGTGATTGTGGTTGGGATAGATCCATGTATAGCATCCAAGGTGTACAAGTGTTATGTAAGCCTTACCATGTGAGGGTTGTAGACTTGGGCGAAGTGCCATTACATAATTAGAACCACTTCCCATTGTCCATCAAATCTTGTGATTTCTTGTGACCTGATTAGAAAGTGTCACTTTCCTTTTTTCCCCTTTAACAATTAATCTGCCAGTTCAATTTCAAGAAGTGATATGTCTTTCTGCCAGGACTGTCCATACAATCTACAAGTCTGACAGGAAGTTTTCCCATTAATGGGGATGTTGTTGTTGTTGGTAATAGTTTAATGACGTTCATTCAGTATTGAATATATGTTTTTTTTAACATGTGACAATGAAAAGAGAATGGTCTTTCTTGTTTGTTTCATATTTTATGTATTTAGTGTGTAGAATGTAGATATGGAAACTAACATGCTCTATTAGACTTATGATTTAACTCATTTCGTCCACATATGATTTGTTTTACTGCCGTTATAATGCACCACATACCAGTACTTTGTTGTGCACTATTAAATTGGTTTTATTATGATTTCTTTCCTGCTTTAACACATCATTTTATGGTTTATACAGAAGGTTCAAAAGCCCAGTATTGAGACTGAACGTTTCTCTGAGGTGAGACGATGAAATAGATATTTTTTCTGATATCAAAACTTTGCTTGTTAATTCTTCGCCTTACAGTTTCTACTCATTGAAATCACTTATCTTCTGCATTTTCACTTGCTTGCAGTGTACACGATAACAAACTTGTATTCATACTTTCAAAAGAAAATCAGTGTGTATTGCAATGCTGGCACTATTGTATGATGTCTTTTTTTGCGCTTCTTTTCCCTCTACAAATATTAGTTCCCTTCGTGTCATTTCCTTGTCTTTATATTTCTGAAACAATATCTGTATGCTTGAACTTGGCACTTTATCTGGTTTTTTGTTACTAATATTCCAAATTTGCGTGTAACCTTTTAAAAGTTGGTCCATGCTTAACCATGTAATTTATTTTCCATCAGCAAAAGAATGTCCTAGCTGTTTACTTCCCTTTTTGCCTTTGAATCCTACTCCTCTTTTCTTAAATTGTACTGCTTCTCTTTGAAATGAAAATATAATTGTTTAGAATAGTAAATTGTTAGCATTATTCCTTTCTAAGAAGTGACATATGATAATAATCAAAATAGGGATGGGTTTAAAAATTAAAATCCTTACTCTTGCGATAGTCTGTGAAATTAAGTGTCATATTCAATGCATTATTATATATTTTAAGTTATCTGCACAGGTTCACCCATTATCACCATTTACTTAAATTGTTCTTTCTGATTTCACTCTATAATTAACAGACAACAATTGTCATCAGTTATGTGTACTGTCAGTAAGGTGGAAATGTTGTCTTTATCTCTCATACAACACATATGGAATCACTCTAATGAGTATATTCCTTGCCTGTGGTAGCTTTTTCAGCAAGATATTGAATGGTTTGACCTGTCTAGCCTTCCACTCATCTTATCTTTGATCCGAAAGAGAATTAAACCAGACTATAATCAATCCTCGACAGGGCAATGATTGTATCCAAACCCGATCCGAGTTCATTCGTCCTCGATTGGTCTGGTGATTCTGATGTCACGCTGACCTGCTCACCTCCTCGGTGCAGATCCTGTTTACGTCAAGATGAATTTAGATTCTCCACCTCTCCTCCTTCTCCGTCTTGGCCCGGCCAAAGACGGTCCCCCCTCATGCTTAAAATAGGCGCAAACTGTCTGTATGTTGAGGTGGTCGATGTAAACCACGCTCGGACGCTGCTATGATTCAAGATAGGGATCATTTGAAAGGATATGAATGTGTCAACATCACTCGCCAGCATCACAGACCTGTAGATTGTTAACTCCAAGAATTATTAGCCTGGCTCTCCCACAGTAAAGTATTCTTTATTGCTTGTTGCTAGGGTTACCCGGGGAAGCAAGAAACAAGAAGTGGAGATAGGAAAAAGCATATAAGAGAAGCAGTCATCACTTTCGGCACTTGCGCATCATGACCAATTAACTTGCTGACAAGCGCCTTTAACTTTAATTCGCTTTTTGATCAGTTAGGGTTCTTCTGTTATGTCTGTAATAAGGATGATGAACTTGCATTTTGAACAAGTTGAGATACACATGCCTGTCATCCTGTGCCTTTTTGGTAGAAAGATTATAAGAATGACTTTGAATGTACTTGTCTCTCAAATTATCATTATCATTCCTCTCACAATCCTAACATTCCTACATAGTGTAAAGCTCATTTTCTCAATAACACAAGTTTCTTATATTTCCATTGTCACTTTGAAACATTTTTGGAGTGGTCAACATGTAAAATTTCCTTGGTTATTTTTTTAAAACCATTTGTATAAATATAAATTAGTAGCCATAAATTGAGAAGTATTTTTAGTATAAATTATGATATCCTTTTATGAATTCAGACGTCATTGTAATAGTGATTGACAAGAGAGTAGTGGAAAGTTGGCAAGGAACAACATTGTTGTGATATTGGCAGATTTTATGTTCCTGTGACCTATTTTTTAATTATAGGTTATTTATTTTAGAAAAATTTGATCCATTTCCTCTCTAGTCAAGGGAACAAAGCTCAGTCTGTAACCTTGTCTATGAAGGCTGCATTCATTGTTCTATTTCTTTTCTTCTGTATTATCATTCTTAGTGAGGGAGGGAGCAGTTAACAGGAAAGGAAAAAAAGTGAATTAAGTTCTTGAAGGATTTGTGTTGGCATATGGTTTGTGTAGAAATAAAGTGAGTTTTCACTTCTTGAAGATTCCTAGCAATGATATTATGTTGATATTTTGAGCCCTGATAGTTTCACGTTGTGTTTCTGCATGAGTGCAATATGAATGTTTCTCATCCTGTCATGCCATGATATACCTCATTGTAATCTCCGATCAGAATTCAATTAAGGCTCCATGGTAATTCATAGCAGTTGAGTACTAGCCTGATGTGTTCTTTGCTGTGTCGATCTCATGTCTACTTTTTCAATTTTAACCTAAATGTCTTTAAAATACTTGTGTTTTTTGCTCATTTCCCATTCTCTCTTGTGCTATGTGTGCAAAAAATGAGTGTGTATGTTGTGTGGTTACTACTACCGGTATTTGTTAATGATATCACTGTATATGCCCATTTACTCATCCCCAAACTTGAATCATTGATTTTTTTTGGTCTACCATTTACATTACTGGAAATACCCATTAAAAAATGTTGAAGTTTGCTCATACTGATTTTATTTTGGTGAGCAGAGAGCATGTGTGACTTGCCAGTGCCCTGCATGCATAAGCCTGGAAGCAAGGAGAGTCACACTTACCAAAGTTTGCTTTTACACTCCCCCAAAAAATCAGTGAAAATTTGGCAGGCATTTAAAAAAAACACACTCCAGAGGTAGATTTTTTGTCGTGTTTGCAGGTATATAGTTGCTATGTTATGCAATTATCGGCAAATCGAAGGAATGTGAGAAAAATAAAAAATCTATGGTTGCCGTCTCAATGCAGCTCATGTTAACAGATTCTGTGTCTCCTGTTCAGTCTAATTCTATATGGCCTTCATATAGCACAGAATCATGTACTTTATCTAGATGCATTCGTGTTGTACTTAGAATTTTGCATTAGATTTGTAATTGTGGTTTTTGGTCTGTATTTTCATAACAATAACATTCTTTTGAAATAGATGAACAAATTGATGTACAAGCAGTCATCAGATTGAATATTAATTGTAAACACAAGTAACCCTATAATAGTCGGTTCCAAATGATGCGCTTTTATATTGAGAAATTTATATTCCCATCTCACACGATGATTGGGAGATGATGAGTGAATCGTACATGTTGCTGAGTATATTAAAGTGATAGTCTTTCAATATTTTTGTTGCTCTGTTTTTAGTGATGATAGTTTGTCTCACGAATGAAAAAAGATATTACATGAAGCAAGGCAATCAAAATAGTCAAGTGTATATTAAGAATCGGCCTCCTCATAAATGCCCTTTTGCAGATACGAAATGACTTTTATATATTTATCATATTTCGTGTTGATGTAATAGATGAACAGTGGACACAGCATGATAATATCTCACTCTCTCTCTCTCCCTCTCCCCCTATTTCACAGACTACCTATGAGGTTTGCACCCATTGGGTCAATGACCAGACATCAGAGGCCATCAGCATCTTTGACCGACTGACCAAGAAGCTTATGTCCCCATACTCCATCATTCCCATGGTGCGAGAGGTGGAAGGCATCCGGCGGAAGAGCCTCGGTAATGCCATAGAGCAGGAGGAAGATGGCATCGACTTTCCAGCCTGGACCAGTATCCTCAATGTCTTAGCCGCAGATGAGTAAGTACACCTTTGTTATCATTTCTTTTTCTTTTTCAAATAGTCCGGTGGAGGATATTCTAATGCTTTTGTGTATTTCTACCGAAATCACTTTCCAGTGATTAGGAATGTCTTTTGAGCATCTGTGATAGAGAGTTCGGGAGAAACGATGTCTCAGGGTTTATCACTTTGTTGATCCAAAAGCAGCCAAGATACGAGATAACAATAATTAAATTATACATACATAGACACATGTAGATAGATAGATAGATAGATAGATTGATAGATAACTGGCTAGATAGACAGAGATATGAATAATACTGGACCCCTAAAGAGCTGGAGGGATACGCTTGGGTGTAAGGGTTAATTTATTAGTTCTTCAATTTTCATACCCATTTTTCATAATTTCTGTTAAAATGTAGCTTGCATCTACCTTACCATGGAAATAATATGAAGTAAAAGAAGGAAGAAGAAACAAATGGTAAGGGGATATACTCAATTAGTGTATGCTGTTTTGTATGCCTTTCATCAGTGGCGAACAATAAAAAGACTTTTAACTTGATATCTGTCTGGTTTATAAGCACTTCAGTATTCATGACTTAGAACATCCTAAGTGGATTCAAGCATGGTTCTTGCTAGGGCCAAGTGAGTGATAGTGACAAGAAGGGAAGTTACTGCTTTCTGACTTCTGTTCATGATGATCCAACAAAGCAATCATGTTTTAAAATCAATAGTGCATTACATGTCGCCAAAAGACATGTAGTCTTCCTTGAAAGTTAACATGAAATCTAAGTGATTGAAAGATCTCCTGTAAAATTAGAAGTGAGTGAGTGTATGGGAGAGAGAGAGAGAGATAGAGAGGAGAGAGAGAGAGAGAGAGAGGGAGCGAGAGAGTGAGAGAGAACCAGAGAGAGAGAGGAAGAGTGTGTGAGAGAGGGGGAGAGAGAGAGAGGAGAGGGGTGTCCACCCCCCCCCCCCCCTTAGCCCCTGTATATTTAGATGCATAGAATCAACAGCCGTAGACGTATCAGAACATTGTGAGAGATTCATTGTGGTTATTCAGAGATACGTTGTAATTGCACTTCCTTTTAAGATTTCTGCAGCTGATCTGCCTGGGTGGTTGAGTACATTCACCCCCTTCACATGAAAAAATGAAGAAAGGTTACATGATACCATGTACTAGCTTCAACACTTAAGCAACCCGTACATGTAGTTTCAATACAGGGGCTGCAGACAGTTTTAATTGTTTGATTTTAATCATTATTTCTATATTCCTATCATATTTCATATACTCCTACTATTAAAGTATGCATATAATGTTACAAACAGTTGATAAAAGTGGCCTCTTTGTATGAGACTAGTGATCAAATATTTGTACAAACTTGTAATGTTGTTGCACCCTATATAGCATGCATGTTATCAGTAAGAAAACCATCAGACCCTTGTAATGCTAGACAACATCTGTCCTTGTTTTTTTATCATTTCATTTTTTGTGTAGGTCATTAAAGAATATCAATCTGCTGTTGATTATTCTCACCCCCGCCCCCAGGAAATTTACTGCTATAACTTTTAACTAAATAAATATAACTTTGGATCTGTATTTGGTTTCCATTGTGTTATAGGTTTCGGAAGTTTGATATTTTGTTTATTCAAGTCTTGTGATTTAAGATAAAAAAAAGTGAATAAAGCTGCTTGCCAGATATAATTAAAATATTTATGATCTAAATTCATTGTAAACAAACTTTAGACATGATGGAACATATGGATTTATTCTTCATCGTATTAGGATTTTTAATAGAGTGTGAAAGAATTTTAACTCGGGGTATTTACGTCAAGGTTGCGACAAACACCAGGTCGGTCCCACCCTAGCTGCTCCACGTCACCACGAACGGCAGTCTATTTTCACAACCCAGAGGACCAAGATTCAATTTCCCTTTGGGTGATGAAGCCTAGTGTCCTAATTTAAGCATAGACCAGCTCTGATCATCCATTGCTCTTAAAGGTCACGCATGTGATCTTGACATTACCAGTGTAATTATCCTGCCCCTTGAATATTTTTTGGCTTTTGTGGCTTAGCGTATATCAAGAATGTCAGATTCACGCTCAGGAATTTTTGATACCACAACTTCCACTCTTAATAATCCATATTTGGATCATTAATGATATAGCTGTAATTTTATTTAGATTGTCTAAAAATAGACATGTATAACATGAGTTTGTTTGTACATGTATGTTATAGAAATATATACCATATTTTGATAAGGGGATGCATGTTTGTAAGTAAATTCATTTTAAAAGAAAATGCATGGTTTAACTTTGAGGGCACAGACATATGCACTCCAAATTATAAGATTTGTTGCATAATTTTGTAATTAAAGTGGCAAGTAATGTGATAATGTGAATGTAGTTTGTATCTAGTACATATATCCCTTGGCCTTTAAGTCTGTATACTGAATTCATGTGCGGTGTCTTTGGGTCCCTGTGCAGGAAACTTAACACTGTTCACATTCTCATTACATTGGTTGACATCCTTCTGTTTCAAATTAACTCCCTATCATGTTCCGATCGCCTCTCTTCCTGCGTTCCTGTGTGCCCTCATTTTTTGAAGTCATTTTCCTCCATCATGTGGGTGGTATAGATGAAGATAGAACACCTTTCAGCCATAGCTCCCATGGATGTGGTTTTGTAAGGATTCTTCACCTAATGGAGGTACCTGTGTGGATCTTCTTTCCCTTGGAATGTGATTAATTCTGACTTTCAGTGTTTAAATCTCAGTTTTTGACTCATTTTGAATCTCATGATAAAGTTCAGTACCTGCACCGTATAGGTGAAGATGAAACACTTTTCAATCTTCTGTGGATTTAATGATCTTCTAAGGATCCCTCACCTAATGGGGAAACCCATGTGGATCTTCTACACATCTCGATTCAAATGATCCCAACATGAAATGCATATGTCCCCATCTGCCTTCCTTCTTTAAGTCCTGTTCCTTCATCCTTTGTGTGATATAACTGAAGATGGAACACTTTTCACCCCCTACTTGTGTAGATATGGTCTTGTAATGATCCCTCCCCGAATGGAGGTACCTACATGGACCCTCTACCCCTTGGGATGTAACTAATCCCAAACTGTCTGTGCCTAAATTCGTTTGAACCCCACCCTCTGATCCTTAGCACCCTCCAACCCCTCCCTTGCTTGTTCATTATCCTTGTTTCCTAGAATTTCTGACGCAGAGAACTTGGATAAGACTCAAGCAAATCCTTAGTGTCAATACTATTCTTAGGAGTATAAACCATTAATAATATACAAATACAAATAAATACAAATAAAACTGTCTGTATGCCTTTATTAGACAAGTGTAACGATACAATATATATAATAAAGGACATTCATTAATGAATCGCTAAAGTTCAACTGTTCAAGATTTGACCCTGCATACTGACCTTTCTATCCTAAAATTTCACAGACATTTCCAGGGATCCATTAAGGACCTCCCAAGAGTTTTACTCACAATACAATACAAAGCAGTCCATCCCTTCATGGCTTTCTTGTCATCTGCGTTGCCCCTGGCCTTATTCCACCTGGAACATTGTAGACCAGTACCTCCTTTCATTCATTAACTGTTCCTTCCTGGACAGTGGAAAGTTTGCTGAGATATAAAAGATTCAGCCTCAGTCCCACCTACAGCAAACTGTGTGAGTAATCAAGGAGTGCCAGGCAGACAGACAGTTGGGACCCTACCGGTCACCGTCACAAAACAATTCCATCCATGCGCATGTCATTTCAATTCTCAGGAGGACTAAAACTTGACAGATTAAAAGCCCATGAAGTTGTGTATTTTTTTCTATTCTGTCTGGAAGAAGTACTTACTTTGCTTTTGATATTGGATGTTTTTAGACTAGTTGCATCTCCCCATATAATTTTAGATAATCACTTGTTTGTTTGTTACCCTTTATAGACATGAATATTTCACTGAAACATAACATTAAAATTGTGCATTTCTAGAATATTGTGTCCATTCCAAAGTCTTTTTTGGTATTGTCACACATGAGAATTGAAAATACAGGATTTTTTTACAACTTAGAGCTTGCATTTATATAACTTCTTTAATTTGTTTAAAGAATCTATATTACCTCAGAATAATTATATTGATCCATCAATCAAAGGTAGATGTGAAGTTAGTAATCATAAGATAATAATTTATCAAACAATAATTCAGTCACTTTTAGTACTGTTTACAAACTGCCCACTTCTGTTTGATAATCATAGCAGTGTATCATCTTTATCATTTCCACATGTGAAGTGAAGAGAAAGGTGAAATCAAAACTAAATTTATTTGTATTTCATAACAAGACATCCGATGCGAATCCTAAAATAGCAAGCATTCTTTCAGCTTCCTGAAATCTTCAAATTGGTAGCATGTGCTTGATGGGCTTTGTTGTATAAGGTGATAATCCTTGTCTAATCTATCAGCAAGGGTGTGTCTGTGCTTTAAAACTGCCTTGTAATCTTCTCATCATAACCCATCCCCACCCCTTGTGATCTGTGTGTGTAACTTGATTAAAGCAAGCTGTGGAGGTGTGTAGGATGCTAATTAGGCAACCTCCTGGGTCTTCTAATGTGTTTATCATTTTACTCTTGAAGTGTGAGTTTATGGCCGTAAATGTACCATAAACAGATAATTTATTCAGGGGATGGTCATTTTACACAAAATTTATATGATTTACTTGTGATTTACATTCTCTGTCTTTGTTACATACTTGCAATTAAAATGCAGTTCAAAAGTCATCACCTTTCTCGAAATTTTGTCAGTAAAGTAAATTTCATATTCATACATTATTTTAGTGCTCTTTTAGGTTTTTCAGAAATGAATGGCTCTTAATTATCCTGTATTTAGTTATTTGCTTATGAAACAAATAGAGTGTAAGTTAGATCCCCCTAAGACAATGGATCATATTTTCGTTCGAAACTCTCCCATGTTTCAAACCTAAATACGGTATGATAAATTTATCCACCACTCAACAAAGATAAGGTCAGGAAAATTAAAACACCTACATAAAATAACATATTAAATAGTTCAATAGACGCCAGAGCTTTTCTGTGGTTGATGAACTTCCTGCGTGTGCATAAATTTCACTGGTTTGTCTATTTTAAAGCTGTGACAGAGTGGTTCTACCTAAGACATCTTGTGCAGCCTCATGTTATAGTGGGGACAAATACTTTTACAGAGATGTCGCGTGTTGTGGTTTGTTATTATTGCATCCTTGATTGAGTTAGGAGCATACACTAAGGAATATGGTCATTCTGGTCACTGCATCTTTATACCAGGAATTGTGGAAAACCTAGAAATGAGATTTGGTTTCTTATTTCCCGATATTGTTAACAACTTACAGACTGGTTATAAAAGTTTATGCTAATTGAGTCCTTCCTCTGCCATGCAGTCTGTTAAATGATTATGTATAAAGTATAGAGGCCAATTATCTTATGTTTTAGCACCGTACGTTATTTATTTCTTGACAAAGAGGGCAGCAATTCATCTCAGGCCATTGGGAATGCATGCTGCTTCTGTGTTTGAATACTGAGAGAAAGGCCAAGTTATTTTAGTATCATAATATGTTCTTTTCAAAAGTAAAGTATGAAAATTGCTTTTACTTAGAGCAAGTTGATAAAGTTACAAATCCATTCCCAATTCCTTTCCCCCCTGCAGCAATAACTGAATTTACTGTAATAACAATTACCCTTATTTCCTTCTGAGTCACATAACCTGAAAATCCTGTGGTTTGTAGGGCTCGGATAATAGTATCTAGTAAAGGAGGAATATTTATGAAAAACTTTAGATGTTATCAATAATAGTTTCAGAGCCATTTCCCATCAAGACACTTCCCATCAATCCTTAAAATCACGTCCTTTGCACTGCCGATTGTGTAGAGAGAGGAGGTAGATTGTTGAGTCGTAATTAAAAAGGTCATTTTCCTGCTGGAGGGTAAGACGTGTACGTACTTGAGACTCAGCATGCCAAGGACAAGAGGGAATGCCTCATCACTCGTGACTCACCTGTCAACATTGATTGTTACGACTAGTGTCTGAAGAGGGGTATAAGTGGAAGAAAAAAACCCTCATAAGAGTTTATAAGGACGTTGTGACATGGAGAGACAGATTGACAGACAGGGGAGCAGTAGGCAGCATGAGACAGTGAGTGTGATCAGTGGGTGAGAGAGAAGAGAGAGGAGGGAGGGAGGGAGGGAGGGAGGGAGGGAGGGAGGGAGGGAGGGAGGGAGGGAGGGAGGGAGGGAGAGAGAGAGAGAGAGGGAGAGAGGGAGAGAGAGGGGGAGAGGGAGAGAGAGACAGACAGACATAGAGGCAGAGACAGAGAGGCAGGCAGATGAGAGTATCCTATTAAAGTGAAATACCCTTTACAACAATGTTGATATTCCAATTCAGATGGTATACATAGTTTTATCCCTTATGGAAAACTGTTTTTAGCTTTCGTGTTTTTGATAATAATGATCATGATAATAATTTGATTTGTACAGTGCCTTTTCCAGAGGATAAAAAGTGCTGTCCATCAATCTAGTAACAAATTAAGAATTTGTCACAGTAAATCTCCTTTAATATGATAGTGATGACTGTGTACATAATGTACACATGTACATGATAGAGTTTTTATGAACATGCTTGCATATACAATAAGGAGCTGTGACAATACACTGACATATAAAGGTACAATAAGTTTAGGCCTATAGAGAGGTAACTTGAAAGAAAAGATCAGTCAGTATAAAGACTCTACTGGGGTGATGAGTTAACGCAAATCTTTAAACTCGTCGTACGATCCTTCACCCCCTTGAGGTATCTGTGTCATAGTTTTCACTTTATGTTCTTTGCTCAAGGTGAATAGTAATTGTACCTCACATATCGAGGGGTCGGTGACACAAAAACGTAACTCCATTTTGGCCATTTTGAGAAAAAGTGGTTTATGTATCACTGAGCACTTGGACCTTAAGGAGTTAAGTCTATGTTTCACCAGCCATTTAATTCAATGGGGTGTTGGGTGGAGTTAAAACTTTGTGTTTCCTGGAAAGCCCACATTTGTCTGAAAATTTTGACTCACTTTGGAAAAAATATGGAGTTACGTCTTTGTGTCACTGAACCCTCGATATGTTCTTTGCTCGAGGTGAATAGTAATTGTACCTGACATATATCACTATTGTCCCTTGTCTAGGAGATGGATGATGATTAGTGACAATGGCCCAGGTAGTTTGATATCTTACCTTGCTTACTCAATCATTAAGAGGTCTTTTCCCATGACAACATTTACCAAGATATTTGCATTCTTTAAGTTGTTTTTACAGATATCTTAAAGATGTGATATGAGAACGGTTAATGCATACTGATAACTTTTAGTAAGTAATGGTACTGTTGATGAAGAAATTACAAGGTTGTGATAATGAATATTGATATTAACATCCATACTGCCGCCGTACATGCATATAGGATGTCAAGATCAATTTTGCCAAATGTCGAACTTAAGATTTTTTCTGGGCATAGGTATGGGCATGAAGTTTCTTCGATGGGTCCAAATCTTAAGGTGTATGCAAGTTTTTTGGGTGTTTGAGGTAAAAAGTTTACTCGTTTAAAAATGTAATTTTACCAGCTCATATTCTCAGGTAGGGACAGGTAAGGTTATCATTAAGTACCGGTAATACCATTCTTTCTCATTTGCACCAAAAGAGCACCTAGAAGAATAACCCTTCTGTATTGATGAATCATACCCTGTGTTAAGATCATTTGACAGTGGTATGATCTGATGAGAATTGTTATAAAGATTAGAAATACCATATTTTTCATTGTCCACCTTTCTTTCTTCTTCTCTTAATCCATCTTCTTTAGGGAGAAGTGGAGCCTGATATTAGCAACTCAAGTCTTACCCGTGATTGACAGACTCTTCTACACCAAAGACGAAGCCATCATGGATGCTGCCATTGAGCTTGTCCATGTCCTGCTCAAGAAGTTTGCCAAAGAAATTCAGAAGAATCACCATGGAGGTCAGTATAAAGGATTAAAAACTTTGACAATTATTTGGAGGCTGAATAAAGTCTTCCTTTTGGTGGATTTTTATCCCTGTGATTAGATATACTTGTAATTGTATTTGACATCTAGACTTCAATAAGTTCTTTTAAATGCTCTGTGAATTCATATTGTAATGGAATGTGAATCGTCTTTCCATTTTGTATTTGTTTAATGGAAATCAAGTACCATTTTTATGGTGTCCCAGTGAATGTCATATACCGGTACTCAAAAAAATTGGTACACATATCTTGAAGTGTGTCACCTACACCTTATGAAGCTTGTAAAGGCTATTCACATGTCATCTTTTGGTGATTTAATATTTGATCTGCAACCACAAGCCTACTGTATATCTACATCACCATGCAAGCCGATACTTATAAGCAGCATCTAATAATTGATCTGTTCTTTATTTGGTTGAAAATATAAGGCGTCGATTTTTGATTAGGTTTTAGGTTACCTCGAGGGTTAGGTGTAGTGCTTATTACGACGACAAAACTTTGTTTGCATACCTATTCCACCCTCTTCCTTTTCCTAACTAATCCCTTTCACATAATTACTCTCCTCCCTGCCTTTAGGTCTGTTCCGCACCAAGTTCCGGGATGACTGCCGAACGTGCTACCACTGGTTGGGCAAGCTGCACACCAGGGTCAAGGACCTAGTGCGTAAGGAGACGGAAGCAGGGGAGATTGACCTGGATGATATGCTGCATGCCTCTCTGCTCTGCTCCTTGAGTGATGCCCTTAAGCCCTTCACCAGCAAGACCTACTCTGTCAAGGAGTCCAGCAAGTGAACGGGCAGGGAGCGAGGATGGGTCAAATCCCATAAGGAACATTTGTCATGGTCAGAGAGTCCAAGACAGAGGGTGGTTGGGTGGATGTAGACAGGCTCAGAGAACATCCAAGAGTGCCTACCTGGAGCAACTATGTGCCAACGTGCAGTGAATCTGAATCTGCAAGAATGGACGCACACCAAAGCAGCTCAAGAACTATGTATATGTAGCCAGGGATGGGATAGCTGCTTGATGGGCACCACGTAGGCTTCTGGATATCCTAAGAATCAATTGCAGATCCAAAGAGTATTCAGTAGGCAAGGATAGAGATTGAGAGAACAATGTTGTGCAATGTACTGCCATTGAGGCTGGGTAGTGGAATGGACATTCATTTGCCATTCATTACCCAACATTCTGAAATTGAGGGGGATCACTTAGATAGGTGGGGCCATCGCTTAGCTAGCTGAACTGATCTCATGATATACCACATAAAAATAAGAGAGTTCAGTTTCAGAAGCAATGGACATAAGTCAAGTATAGATAAAGCTTCAAAACTGTGACAGTTATACAAAGTTAAAATGGCCAAAGTATGTGGACAAATAACTCTATCAGCAGCTCTGACAAGAGGATTTCATCTCAAGTACCTAGTAGATTGATTTACTTTACATCATATGATATTTCATTTCATTATATGATATAGTTTAATCATTCTTTCACAAACATATACTCTCTTGCGCTTGATATATAAAGAATACTTCTGTTTCTATTTGGTGCATTTTCCCCACCAAAATGACTCCATTTTTTTTTTAGCATTGTCCATTCCATATTATTTCATCTCATCATATATCCCACATAGTGTACACATCTCATTAGAGTTCTGTTGTACTGTAGTCGTTCCTAGGTTACATATAGAAGACATGTACAAAGCTGTCCAACCTGTTAACCCATTAAATACTAAATTCTCTCATTTCACTAGGCTTATCACAAGAACCAGCCAATTCTGTAGGTAATGGATTAATCCTATAAACATAAAGGGTTGAATTCACTCTAGAAGATTTAATCCACAGTCTAAACCATGGTTTTAAACCTCCCCCTGAACTAAAAGAAGTAACAACAAAAAATTATTTCAATATCACTTTATTTACAATCACGATTATTATCCAAGGAAGTTTTGGTAAAAACAATTGTATAGATACTTCCAAAAATAGTATAGAAAAGTAGGAAAGATAAAAAAGCCCAGGTACGTCTCACTATTTATGATGAAATGCGCTATATTCAACTTAACTTAAAACACACAAAAAATCCAGTTCTGTAGGTAATGGCTTAATCCTACAGACATAAATGGTCGAATTCACTCACACGATACAAAAGCGTATATTATTGCCCAATCGTTGGACAGGAGGACACACATTTACTACGCTTACAAAGGTTTAAACCATAAGTTAAGATAAACCACGATCTTGAATTTGGACCAATCTTTGTGATCCATTCTGGTTTTTGTGAAAGTGGGATATTTTGGAGTTTTGTGACATTTCTCTGCAATGTGGGTTAAGGTTGGACAGTTTAGCTAGAAGTAGATTGTATATTGTGGATGTGATAGTAGGATGTACCTAGGAGACACACTATCGGTTTATTCATTACGCTGAGTTTTTTCTACCATTTTTGTGTGCAATATCTGTTACAATAATGACTAACAACTCTTCTAGATTTGTAAAACTTGTGAGGTAGATTTTGTGTTTGAAAGTGTACAATGGGAATTATCCTTTAAGATTTAATAGGATATTCTAGACTTGTATGATGGTTTAGGCTGCTGAAGATTTGTCGCCATCATCAGTGTCATAATCCTTATCATAACCATCATCATCATCATCAACATCATCACCATCATCTTAGCTTGCATCATCATCATCATCATCATCTTTTCTCCCATAATTTCATAAATACCACCCAATAAAGATCCTTGTTCCTTGTAATTGTAATCTTTGTCCTCATTTCATTTACTTTTGATAAACAACCATTACCTATGTTCTGCATAAAAGCTGCAGGTGAGTTACAGAATGGACTCTTTGTATAGCTCTGTAAATTTGTTTATATCGTCAAGATGGTGTATATTTTGAATGTTTTGTTGTAAATTTTGTTTACATGTCAATTATGGACCAAAAGGACTTTGGTATATTAATCTGCTCAGGATTTGTGAGGAATGTGCAAAGCAGTGAAATAGATTCAATAATCAAATTTTCAGATAATTGATCTTCCATTTTATCTACATTTTCTTTCAAAGGATTTCTGTAAATTACGTTGAATCCGTGCAATATTTATATAAATGTGGACATATTTTAAGGCTTTTGAAAACATAAATGACTAACTAGAGAATTTGTTTTGCATTTTCACATTGTGAAATACAGAATACAAATATGTATGAAACTTAATTAATTCGAACTTATTCAGTTCAATATTATTATTATATATTCTAAGTATTTTTAAGTCTGTGTATTTTTTGAGATGGTGTAAATGGTCCAGGTTTTTTTGAAAGAAGGAAACAAAGAGATATAGACATATTTTTCAGAAGGATGCACTTATCATTCAATTTGATTTGGGAATATTTCTCCCAATTAGGAGCTTGAAAGTGGCACCTTTGTATCAAAATGGGGAGTACATCACCCCTCTTCACACCACAATGGAATCCACTTCCAAATGATTTAATATTTGTTTTCAATCAAAACTTTCATGTGAGATATGTCAACACCAAACAGGTGACCAATTTTAGACGCTCGATGATTCATATTTCGAAGGGGTTTACAGAGGGCTGCTTAAAGTGAGAAAAACATGAATTTCATTGTGGCATGACACTGCGACCGATTGTTGTCTCATGTTTTATCAAGGGTATGAGGAGCTGTTAATAAAATTGGGGAATTTAAATCAATTTTTTCCTGCCAAGTTATGGCATCAGCCACTTACATAGTGGTAGATGGATCACTTTAAAAAAAATTGTTCACCTACAGAAAATTTGATTTTGAAGGGGAACAGCTGTGAGCGCAACAACTGTATAGGGTAGATTTCTCATTGTCCACAGGATGAATAATCTTGTGATAGACTGATGATAATGCTCAGTGTTTTGATAAAGACTCCAAAGAATGATTGAAGAATTACAGAGTTCAAAACATTGGAGTAAGGTTAGGGCTTAACATTTATATTGGTATATTATTGGCAAAGTTACCCATGATACCCGACTTGCTGTGTAAAATCCTGTACTTACTAATAATGTGTACCTAACAAAGCGACAAATTATGATAGAGTTGGGTTGTGTCTATATTTTGATAGACAAAATTGCTGCTCATGTTACTCTTATACCATCCGTTTGGGGCCAGTAGGGCCTTCACTCTTATAATTTTACACATAGGTAATGCCCTTCTGGCTCCAAACAGACAAAAATGTCATTCAATATTTGATCTAGGAAGCTCTTCCAAAGGGTTCCTAGTAGTTTCTCATCAAGTAGAGTCATGCATGGGTTTCTTAGTAGGTCCATGGTTTGATCAAGCCTTTATGATAGATTCCTAGTTATGTCTGGCGAGTGAACTGCTTGACCACTGGACCTTCCTGGTCACTCATTGAGGTCAGGTTACTGTCCTGTAATAGTAGCCAGGGAGGTGAGATGACCAAGGGAAAATACACCAAGGTGATGGTGACAGATAGGTGAGGTGTTGTTGTTGTAAAGAATCTTCTAGTGTCTTATGGAACAGCCAAAAAAAATATCCAATAAATATAGTAGTCTTTTCTCAGAGAACAGATCCTTGGATTACACATAGCACAACCTTTTCTAAAAGAGCATAAGAAGAAAAAATAATATATCTTGAAGTGTGTATCATTGTCATACACTTTCCAATGATTCGATGAACAATTGCATCAACAATCTGGCTTAATTGTGTGTGGTCACTTCATTATCTTTCATTTCATCGATTCAAAAAGTCTAAGCCTGCAGACTAGACATATGTTTGTGTTTTGGAATATAATATCTGAGATAAAGGATGTACAATTGGTGAGTTAGATAGGTGATCCCAAACCTCCACTCCTTACCTCTTATCACCTTCACCGATCATCATCGTTGGTCACTATCTTGGGAAACAACTTGACCTGGTTTAGGAAATATCATGATTTAGCAGAAATATTAAAAGCATTTGGCTCTAGAAGAAACTCCTTGAGTATATAAACATTTGTGTTTGTAACATGGACACTTATGAATATATTTGTATTTAAACCTTAGTCATGTTCATTTTTTCCTCACTATTTAAGCTTTGAAGAAATGTTTCTCTGAAATTAATATCCCTGTAGTCCCACATCCTTCTCTCTGCGTTAGTCATACGGTAAAAGCACCCACACACATGTTCGGTGTGCAGCAGATGATATTATGCATGTGCCCATGGGATTCTTTGTGTTGTACGCTTGACTGATTGAGTGACGTTGACGGATCCCGTAAATTCAAACCCGACACCATATGGTAGGCGAATATTTAGGGCAGATAATTGATAGAAATTGGAAACAAAATGCGAAACAAGATGAGTATGCTAGTTTTGAAAGTGTTCGCAATATTTCTACAGATGTGTAATATAGTAACATGTGTGTGAAAATGTATTCATAACATGACAGCTTAATTAAATTGACCGCAGTTTACTTGGGGGATTAGGAATGACGTCAATTACATCATAGGATTTCAAGGCAGTCACGTGATTGGATGTTTTATTTATCCCTTTATGCCTGTATCATTGTGCAAGAACATGTTTCATTGTATGAATTATTTATGTGGGTTATAACTAACACTAAGATCAAGTAGTCATATAATCAATGAGCACCTCAGTTTTGTCCTTCGAGAATAAATCTTGTCATAACTCAGGAGACAGATTATCTAAGATCTTTTACCTTTTCACACTTAAATGCCCATTTAATAAGTTGACGTAGGATAAAAGAAAGGAAGTTGAGGAGAAAAGAGGCCAGATGTTGGACGTGACCCAGAGACGTAATCCCAAGGGAACCCAGCTCCAGGCAGATTAGATTTCATGAAAGAAGAAAGATAAAAAATGTCCGGGTTTCCCTCTCATTTCTTGACAGGTGCGTTTCAGTGCCTCAGAGGAAATCTTATTGTCTGGCTTTTATTCAATTCAACCTGTAAAACACAAACTGACATCATGAGACACTTCTGCAAGTACCTACGTGTAAATGCACCTCAACACAAATTCACATCGTGAGAAACTTCTGGAAGTGAATGCACCTCAAGACACCTTGTACTGTGTATGATGTTTTGAGGGTTTGTTTCAAAATAAAAAAGATTCTAAGTTTTTTTTACATGTCGTTTAAACAATAACAATTCTCTGAATATGCATAGTGGAATCAATCTGTTTATGTGTATAAATGCATTTTCAGATTATAGACTTCCACAGTGCACCTATTTTCCTGTTGGATGTATATGTATATGAGTGGGGTATTAAGTATTGGTTGACTTGGCATATACATGTATATTTTACATCTGGTTTAGATAAGCATGAGTTGTAATTAGTACTTTAGTTTCTACTAAAATACATAATTAGAATAGAAACTAAACTGTCATAAAGATATAACTCTGTTTTAGATCATAATTAGTGCCCTATTGGTTCTGAGCAGAGGATATTTCCTGTTCTTCAATAGTGTTCTCAGTATTCATTATTTCAATCTTTCAATTCAGATCATCTTTTTGTATTCCTACCTTGTAAATATATACATGTATATATGACATATTTTCCATGTATATTGTTGGTCATGTATAAACTGTGAATATATATTTGGCAGATTCATCTTTTTGTTGAATACTCTAATTGCCAGTGTTAATAGATTATATTTTAAAAATTGATGTAAAGAGTATCCCTATAGGATACATTTAATTCATACAATGTGAATAATTTTATGTATGATAACAGATGTAGATATATTTTTGTATTATATCAGCTGTATTGACTGTTGTGTATATGGGTTTCGCAGTTCTGAACATTGCTTCCAGAAAAAATATATATAAATTGTAAAAATTGCAACTTGTAGAGAAAGGAGACATTTATTATCATGGATTATATTTCAGTCAAGATAGATTACATGTAATAAAGGCATATTGTTACTTCATCTATTTTTAATGCATGCCATTTTTTATATATCATCTTCATGAAAAGAGTAGTTTAGTAACAAAGATAAATCTAATGCAATGTGTCAGATGTTTTCAGAACAGATTTTGTTTCTATTTTCTGTGCATATACTCCAGTACATGGGCCTTTTTCTGCAATATATATTTTGTATGATCGGAGAGATCTAAGTGATTTTAATAATAAAAATGAATCATGCAATTGACTTGGAAAGTGCCAAGACATGTTTATTGTTGTCGGTTGATATAAGAGTGGGTGTGATTGTGCTAAGAATGGGATGGAATAGTGAACTTAGACTTTTTATATTACCTGGGGGGTGTTTCATAAAGCTGTTCGTAAAGTAACACATGACTTTATGAACGACTTGTATATGAAAAGCCAAATGGGGTGCTCAGTCGTTATTAACTGCATCAACTAAAGTTGAACTGTGCAGATGTAGATTAACATTCTTATTATATCAAACATTTTTAATGCAAAGTATATTTTTTGCCATAATTTAATTGAGGTTATTGGAAATATCAGAAAAAAACTTTGGGCATCCTATCTAGGCACTAGTCGTTTGTAAAGTCATGCATAACTTTACGAACAGCTTTATGAAACACCCCCCCCCCCCAGATGAGAGCCAGAAGGGCATTAATACTGTATTAATTTATATGAAGTAATGTCCTTCTCGCTCTCATGAGATGATAAGAGAAGCTTTACATGACTTTGAAAAATACATGTAAATGCTGTAATGCTTTGTTTGTTTTGGGTGGGTTTTTTTCTTTTTGCAGAGTGCTAAAATATATCACTTCCAGCTTTTACAAATAATATCTGCTTGGAGCCAGTAGGGCATCTACTCTGTGTTAAAGCATATGAGTTAATGCCCTTCTGTCTCCAAACAGATAATATATTCTATAATCTTGTCTATATAATGTGAGTAACGTGTGAAATGTGAAGTAGCTTCATTTTGACTGAAAGTCCTTTGTGCAATCAAAAGAGTACATATCAAATACAGTGAGAAAACTAATGTTCTAATGGCCTGAATAAGATAATAGCGAAAATTAATTTGTCCGTTACAATTGATTGTTCTCCCTAATATTAATTCTATATCTTTCAAGCAATTATATCACACTGCCAGAGTGCCAGTAACTTACAATCACATTTGTTACAGATCAATCAAGAGTTGAAGTGTTGAGAGCCAGAGCCCCAACATTTTGATGGCAAAATTTCACCTAAATCTCGTGAAATGTGAAAGAGGATGTCATTTGAGACAGATTTCGGCAAGGATTTTCAAAACAAATGTGTTTGAAGTGGAATATTGATGAAAATACAACATTTAGGTATTCCCAAATTATGTATTCTTTTATAACTTTGTCTCCAAACGCATTTTTGGGGCAGAACTGTGTCTTAAATGTCATCCTCTTTCACATTATGATACAGTTTAAGTAAAATTTTGCCATCAAATTGGTTGGCGAATATGGGGCTCCAAACACTTTAGAGGGGCTTTAAGAATATAGTTTCGCAATTAATTGTGAGTCAATAATGTTATCGGACCCTGGATCCCTGCCATTGCTTTTTAGTATGTGTGAGAGTGAAACTGAATGTGTGAAGTAGGCACTTAATATCGGTAAAGTGTTCTTAACTAAAAAAAAAAAGGAATTAATCAGAAAATAATAGCATGTCACATTCAAGAAAACTTTCAATCAATGAATCATAACTGATACAAAAGAGTAACTCTAATCGTGAGGTAAAAGGGAAAGTGGTTCCTGCGTCTTTCTTCTTTTTGAGCATTTCTTGTAGAACAAAAATAACAGTGAACAATGCAGGTCTAAAGAGCCGTGTGCTGCCTGGCAGGTTTCTATACGAGACATCCATTTTGAAGTGATTCACTCCCCGTCTCATAATGAGTGTATTTCCTCTGTGGCTTTTCCCCAGATAAATCCCCTCGCTAATCCCAATATATAATCCAGTGCTATGTTCATGCCAAATGCGTATAACTAGCCCCCCTGTACTGCCTGTTTCTGATCCCTTTCTATAAATGGATATGATTTGTTATTCCGTATGTTGTTTAAAAGTTTTTTTTTTTTTTTTTATAGATGCTACACAAAGCATAGAATTAATCCATTTTCCCTGCCTACAAATCGACTTATTTTATCTCTTCATCAGAGATATTCAAAGGGCCTCAAACATGTCTGGATATTTTTCGTAATATGTCTGCTTCTCTTTCTTTCTCATTCTATCTAAATCTACCTCATTTCCGATGTCTTCCTTTTTGTACCCCCCCCCCCCTCTCTCTCTCTCTCTCTCTCTCTCTCTCTCTCTCTCTCTCTCTTTCGCTCTCTCTTTCTCTTTCTCTCTCTGACTCTCTATTTCTCTCTCTTTTTTCCTCTCTCTTTCTCTCTCTCCCTCCTCCATTTTTTCTACCTTTAAACAAAAATTCTCTCTTTTATCCCCTTTTCCCTTTCTCTCTCTTTCTTTCTCTCTCTCTCTCTCTCTCTCTTCCCCTCTCATTCTCATTTTATCTCTCTCTCTCTCTCTCTCTCTCTCCTTCTCTTTCTCATTTTTCTTTCTCTCTCTCTCTCTCTCTCTCTCTCTCTCTCTCTCTCTCTCTCTCTCTCTCTACTTTCCTCTCTCTCCCCCACTCTCTTCCTCAGGCCTGTATCCCTTTCTGTCAGACGACGACACGACGTCATCATTAATGATATCAAATATTATACCTACATATCTTATTTACTGTACTTCCCTTACACCTGTTGTTTCTTTCTATATTACCCACAGTAAGAAACTTAATTAATAAGGATTTACGTCATCAGAATAACATTTTAAGTGAGAAGATGAATTCAATGAAGAAGGCAACTTATCAGAGATGAATCTGACTATTTGCCAAAATCGTGCACGTTGTGAACTGTTTTTCTTCTTCTAAAGTTAATGTTGTTGTTTGTGTGTTTACTTAATTGTTTTTTGGTTGGTTGGTTGGGTGGTTCGGTTCCTTTTTCTTTTTCCTTTTTTGTTTGTTTGTTGTTGTTGCCTGTTTGTGGTGAGAAACAGTCGCAAGCTTTGTCTAATTCTATTCATGCTTTACTCATATCGAAAAGAGAGCCTCATCATTTTATGCCTTGATACGTAAGTTTGTTGAAGACGCAATTGTTTTCAGAATCTTTTGAATAGTTTTTTTTCTTTTAACTGTGTGTCTGTAAAGTTGCACTGTTAGGAGTTTTGTTTTTATCACAGCGAAGTAGAGAACTTAGCATAGTAGCTGCGCTATAGAAATTGATCTAATGATGATTAATGATATATTTTTGTGCTTCTAATTGATTATTTGTTAGTTATAAAAAAAAAGGACAAAAGGGTTCCATTAACCATTCCGTCCCCGCCAAGTAAATAACCAAACAAAGTTTGATTTAAAAAAGGGCCACATAAAGCGATTAATTTTTTTTACAGTATTTACAGATTACAGATATTTAAGGCTGGGAAATAGGAAAATGTTGAATCAAGATATCAACAAGATAATAATAGTAGGTTGGAAAATATAAGACTTCTTTTTTTATATAAATACAGAGGTGATTATGTTATTATTAGAACAACAAACAAAAATACTAAAAAATAAAGAAACTATGAGGAAGATCGTTGCATCTTTCGACGCAGCAGTAATAAGAGACCGTGATGAGACTCTATAGAATGACATATAGCCCTGGATTTTAGGATGACAAATCAGTTAATTTAGAACATCCTATGATGTATGGCTGGAACAGGTCTGTCTTAGATCTGACCCCTACCCTATTTTTATTTTGTTTCACTCTCTAAAAAAGACCCTGTCCACCATATCACAACCTACTTGGGGAGGGGGAGGGTGGGGTTGGGTAGGGGTATGGTTATTTTAGCTGCGTGCATAGTTACAGGCCTATCACTTTTATCATTTTGTAATTAGCCAGCGGTAATCATGATGCGGCTAGTCGTCTAGAATCTAGATAATTTGATTTTGATTTTATTTGATTTGATTATCTTCTGCATTCATGTAAGCATACAGTTTTTCGATAACAAAAACAATAACAAAGGTTTTTTGTTAAATGTATCATGCATGATTTCGATCTGTGGGGAGCAGAGCCAAATAGCCCTTAGCGCCAATTTTACTCGACGATGAAAGTGCACTAAAATTCAAACTTTAATTTAAGCTCAGCTAGATCATTGGTAGGACATTTTCCTTGCATGCTTCAAGTTAACGGTTCCGATATCAATAGCCGGGCCATTAAAGTTATTAAAGTAAGAGAAAGTTATTAACTTGGTGCTCAGAAGCTCAGATTTACTTGGGCCCCGTCTAATAAACACTTGGATCAATTGGAAGACTTTAAATGGATTCGGATCGATCGCAACTCTTTATAAGACGAGGCCCAAACTGTACTTGTATTGGTATTTATTCCCTTGTTCATTACCAAAAAAAAACAAATACAATTATACAGAGTATATACTTAACTGCGATTTCGCTCTTTCTAATGAAAAGAGCGCCAAAATTAAGATGCGAAGCTCGGTTTTCGCATTGGTTGAGCATTGGCTTTATATACTTTAAGTCCACTGTTTGCAAATCAACCTGATTTTCTTTTCCAGGATTTATTAATTTGAAAATCGCTTAGAGTAGAAATTGCAGTTTTGCAGAATAGCAGTCAAGGTACCATCGAAGGCAGGAGTCCGAGATCCATGGTAGACCTTTACCCCACTCTGATCGTCGATATTCAGTTTCAGTTTCAGTTTCAGTTTTATTTTTCATTTCCAACAGAACAGTGCTTTTGACAAGAAATCAGATATACAATTCAATATTCAATAATATAAAACATTTTACATGGTTTAAAGTTATCAAAAATAAAGTATACATAAATATCCAGTATAATAGTTCTTTTGTTATTAGTTTTTAAGTTAAACCTGTGGAATGGAAGGATCCACTGAAAAGAAGAGCTTGTAAAATGTGGATCCCTCAAAATAATGACAAAATCTTACATTATTACATTGCTCCGGTCATTATTTCGTCAACGATAATGTTGGAGTTTCGATTGACTTTTAGGATATGTTTAGGATTAGGTATTATGTTTATTTAAGAGTTGAAAGTACGAATTTAGTTAATGTAGGAAACGGACCGCGAAGTAATTGTCGCCTGACATCGTTTTGTAGAACCTCTTCCTTTTAACATCAGAAAACTGTTTATACTAAACAGTATCAAGGTCAAGTTCAGGT